GTACAAGACTCAAACTCTGCCATCTAATCGATGCCAATGCATAAGAGACTTTATGGATCACGGGAGAGCTGCCTCAGTGAGTTTTTACGACGGTAACTCTTTGTGTGTATGTATAAATTATTAATAGACAAGCTTGACAGTCCTTATTTCTTCTTGGAACACTAATGGTTCCACCATGGCCTTGGTGCTGGTCTCAAACTTGACGACCCCACAAGCGGCACCGCTCTCTGTGGGCCCAGAACTTTCCCCAGATCTTCATGGAGCTTGCTGTCCCGACCGCTGGCCAGGAGCTGGCTGCTTGCCACCCTTCACCTCTTCCTGTCTCTTCAAGAACCCGTCTGCAACGTGTGCAGGCCTGGACTCGGCGTGAGGGTGATGACCCACTCAACCTCGACTTCGGGGAGCTCTCCTGCTCTTTGGGGGAGGTCAGTGTCTGCTTCGTCCAGACCACACGAGCCTATCTTCACCCCATACCTTCAATGGCAGTGATGGCAAAGGCTATTTTCTGTTCCCCAAAGACGTTAGTGTAGAGAACTCCCAACATGGGCTGCAACTTCTCCGGGCTTCCAGTGGAAGTAAAGACTGTAACTCTTTACTGGAATATAAAGCCCGTTTTTCTCCCTCGGAAGGGCTGGTGGTTTCAAACGGCTGACCCTACAATGATCACCTATAGATCCATGATCTATTTCAATATACATTAATGACACTCCCATCATTCTAATTTCACCTATCACTCTCCTCCCCCATTTAGTTGATCCTACATTTGTGTATGTTTGTGTGTGTGCGTGTTTTAATGATGAAGGATTTAAAGATCAGTGTTGGTCTTAATTTTTATTATAGCATAATCCTTGTTGGCTCCAAAGCTTTTTAGGGGCTATAGGTCCTTTGGATCTAAGGTTCAAGTCCACCCTGTAAACTGCCCTCCATGTAGGAAGGAGGAGTTTCGTTTTAGAAGATGTCTACCTACTATGCAAAGTGTGACTGGCTCTACTCTAATGCACCTTCAGGCACTTCCTCCCTCCCTATCTAGATCCGAACATTATTCTCAATCAAACCATGTGGAATTTTTAGAAATACTTTATTAAAAATTGTGATAAGTTGTAAGTTTGATTATGGTGGATGGCACTATACCTGGTCAGTTGACCTCCTTCTTGGCCCGCCCTAATTTGCACTGGGTTTAAAGATCTCTCGATTGTTCCATGACAGAAATTTTCTCTCTGGCTTATTTGAATATTGCTAGTGGTCTTTTCTTTCTTTATTTTTATTATATGTTTTATTTTATTTTTTAAATTTATTTTGCCTGTTTGTTTTGGTTTGGTCTTTCATAGTTTCTGTTATGTTTTCCAGCTGAAAAACACAGAGGGAGCGGATGCACAGAGACAATAACTGATGCACCGGTCTATCTGGGGTGGGGGAGTGAGGATGCAGGGAACTGGGGTGCAAATAATGAAAGCAGGAGGGGAGGGAGCAGTAGAAGTGATTGTGATGATGTACACACAACTCTCTTAAAAGCGATTTAACTTCTATCATTATGTATGATATATGAATTTTATATCAATAAAATGATTAGGAAAAATAATGTTCTCATAAAAAACAAATACTGTGGGGCGTGGGGAGGGATGGGAAAAATGAGGAGCTGATACCAAGGGCTCAAGTAGAAAGCAAGTGCTTTGAGAATGATGATAGCAATAAATGTACAAATGTGCTTGACACAATGGATGGATGGATTGTGATAAGCGTTGTATAAGCCCCCAATAAAATGACCTAAAACAAAAACAAATACTGTGATAAATATCTGTATCTGTATAACACAATATTTACTAGCTCAACATTGTTCACATGTACAATTCAGTGACCACTATCCATTCACATCTGTTACTAAAATTTCCATCTCCACTAGCAGATACTCAACCACTGCCATCAAGTAGATTCCAACCCTATTTCTGAGGCTGGAAATCTTTATGGGAGTGGATAGCTTCCTCTTTCTCCCGAGGAATGGTTGGTAGGTTTGAACTACCAACCCTGAGGTTAGCAGTCCAATGCTTAACCAACAGTGCCAAAAGGGCTCCTTAACAGATACCCACTGCCTGATCAATAATGGTTCCTCCCTTTCCTTCTCCCTCCCACCCCTGGTAACCATTAACAAAGGTTGGTCTTTGTCTACTTGCCTATGCGCTATTTCAAATAAGCGAGGATCGTACAATATTTGTCCTTTTGTGGCAGGCTTACTTCACTTCAGTATGCTTTCAATCTAAAAATACTACTATGACCTCTCTCCACCTCTGCTTCTCACTGTGGATTATCCATTTTGAGAAGAACCCTGACGCTTCACTCAAAACTGGTTTTTGTCTATCACCAAGCAGCTTGGACCCGGCATCTTCCCTTCCCACCCTTCCCGTCCACTGCCATCTGACGTCTGTTTGGGGAGTTAACGTGTATTCTTGTTGCAGCCTGAGCACAAAAGTAACACAGCAAAGCAGGAACATGTGTGGTCTAAAAAGTCACATGCTTTTATTACAAAGCAAAGCAAAATGTTTTCAGTGGTTAAGATTCTCTTCCACAAACACGAGTAAGCTGCCATTCTACCTCTGGGAAGTACGAACAAACGAATGAGGAAGGGCAGGGCTGGGGCTGGGGTGGGGGACGGTGGGGGCGCTGGCAGGCAGGGAGAGACTCTTTTCTTTTGCAATTTATGAGACTCCTGTGTTTTTAATTATTTTAAAAATCATTTTATTGGGGGCTCGTACAACTCTTATCACAACCCAAACATACATCCATTGTGTCAAACACATTTGCACATTTGTTGCCATCATCATTCTCAAAACATTTTCTTTCTACTTGAGCCCTTGGTATCAGCTCCTCATTTTTCCCCACCCTCTCTACTCCCCCCCAGAGACTCCTATTTTTAACTTTAACGTTTTTAGTAGTGCTTGGCTTAAAAAAAACAAAGTTGATTGGGGTAAGATATGTGAGCAAATAATTTTAAATTGCCATTTTTAATTCCCTCCAAGTGTACAATTCAATAACATGTCACATTGGCCACATGCTTGGTGACATGGATGAGAATGGTGGGAATGCCATTATAATGTGTTGAAATGATTGACAGCTAGGCGATCATTGTCCTACTCTAATTTGGTGTGTGTTTGAAAATTATCATTAAACCCGGAAGCCTCACGTGCAGGAGCTAGTAAATGGTGGGTGCTCTTTGGAAGAATTCACACCAAATGTACCTGCCCTGCGGTTAAGAAACAAAACTCAAGAGGTTTCAGTTCTCCAGGAAGTAAATCAAAGAGGAAAGCAGCCAGTGGACGCTTAAGATTTAAATATGAGAGAAAGACCTGTCCTCCCCCAATGGACGAAAACACTGTGCGGTGAGGGGCTGCACCCCTCGTTTTCCTCCGGGCATACGTTTTCTCTCAGGCACACGCTGGCACTCAAAAAACCATTCTGACTCAGGGAGGTGACCCTACAGGGGCGGGTAGAGCCCCCCCGCCCCCCGGGGTCTCCTCAGCCTGCGCTCTTCACCGGAATAGAAAGCCGTTCTCCAGAGGAGCGGCTGCTGTTTTCGAACTGCGGACCTTGGGGTTTCCAGTCCAATTTGTAAGCACGGTGCCACCACGGCTCGTTTCGCCCTTCTGTGTTTTACACTTTTTATGCAACGAGGAGAAATCGCATCGCACTTTGTACATGGCTGTGTGTGTTTGATAACACCACAGACCAGAAGGCTACAGCGTTGCCGGACACCCGGCTGGTGCCAGAACGCCGGGTTCTGGGTCTCTGAGGCTGCCAAGAGGGGCAGACAGAAGGCAGGGCAGACCCCCCCGACCCCTCACCGGGGAGAGAAAGTGACCCCTCCAGCTTGTGACCCTCACGGCCGGTCTCCCTTCGCCGGGAAGAACCCGAGTCCCCAAGCCCGCGCGCCCTCTCAGAGCGAGTACCTGGTGGGGGTCGCAGGCCCCGCTCCCTCCGGTGCCTTACGGACGCGGCTTCCAGTCCCCAAATCGAGTTTGCCACCGGGGCCTCCCGCCCCGCCCTAGGTTTAGGACCGCCCCGCAGCCTGCCCTTCGGGGCTGGCCTCCGTGAGCGAGTGACCCATCCAGGCGCCCTCGCCCGGGACGCCACTCAGGCAGGCCGGCCCTCGGCTCCCCGAAGCTGCGAGCTCATTGGTGCAGCCACGACTCCTTCCTCTCCGTGGGGGCGGGACAAACGAAGTCGGGGGCGGGGAGGCGGGCAGGGAAACCACACCCCCAGCTCCAGCGATTGGTGGGAAAGGTCGCTTTAGTCCCGCCCCCTGCCTGCGGAGGGTGGGAGTCCACCGAAAGGAACAGCCGACGTCTGCAACAGCTGATTTCGGAGAATCTGCGCCACAGCCTGGGAAGCGAGACTAGCTCCGAGCCGGGGAGATGCTCAGAGTTGAACGGAAGGGGTGGGACCGGAATGTCGCCACGTAGAAATAGGAAGAGGAGGGGGGAGGCAATAAACACAATAATAACTGCTGAGGGTGCTGTGCGAGGCACTTTAGAGCCATCATTGTACATTTCCGTTACTTCAGCAGCCATTGGAAGTGAGAATCATTATCCCCATTTTCGAGATGACAAAAACTCAGCATCGAATATGAAGTTCGGTGGCTTGTCAGTGATTCCCAAAGGCACTGACAGGTGGAGCCTGGATCCAAAACCCAATCCTCTGTCTCCAAACTCGACTTTTTAAGTTGCTGCAGTTTACAGCACCCACCGCCTTCTTCCTGAATAATAAACCCCAGATCTGGAATTTGAACCTGCACATACAAATTGTCAGAATAGTACATTTATTCCGTGTTTGTGTGCCTTTGAGTCGATTTTTTATTATTCATAACGACCCTGATGACAGTGGAACTGCTGGAAGAGGAAGTAGATCACTTGGCGGGGGTGGGGGTCGGGGTGGGGTTTGCCCATGAGCCACAGGTTAGCAGCCAAGCACTTAATCATTACTAATTAAGGAGCTTTTAATTTTGTGTTTGCTGCCTTTGTATAGCCTAAGTACGACACACCCCCACCCACCACCCACCCCTGCGCAGCCTCAGGGTCTAAGAAATGGCTCGTGAGTGGGTCCATTCTGGTCAGGAGCGGAATGGACTACCTCTGACATCTCTGTGTCCATAGTTCTTGTCCCCCACCCCGAGGGCACTGGCTGGCATCTGTGGTGTCTGCCAGGTTGATTTGGCGACAGAAAGAAAGAAGGCAAAGGTAGAAAACCGTTTCAAAGGTTTATTTCAGAGCTCTCTGGTGAGGTTCACGGGTCCCTAAATTGGGGCCAGAGAAGTTGCGCCACCCAGGGAGGGAGGAGAGAGCAAAGAAAGGGATAGGAGCATCCTGAGTAGTGGGTTCACAGGTCCCCAGCTGGGGGCCTGTGAAGTGGCACTGTGGGAGGAGGGGGAAGGTGGAATTTTATAGCTCAGGTCTGTGGGGAGAGAGTAGCTGGGGAATTTTCCACGGCAACATTGTCGTCTGCAGATCCAGAGCTAAGCAACCATGTTCAATGTTATCTGCAACAGCCAGCTTCTCACATCTGGGCTTGAAGGCCACCGAAGCGGGGAGGGTGGGGCTGGCCTCTTGCAGCATCCTGGAAGTGTTTTTACCAGCTCTGGGTATCTCCTCGCCCGCCTGCCCTGCCAACTCCCGCTTCTGCCTGACAGTGTTCACCAATACTCCTGGCTAGCCTCTGGCACAGGGGTGTTTGTCTCTTGCTCATAGAAATATTGGATCAACTGCTCGACTCCAGCCTTCACTGCAGGCTTCAGTGCAGAGCTGATCACCAGTCCTGTAGGACCCCCAGACAGGCCAGCCATGGTCATCACAAGGTCATAACCTAGATCCATGGCTCCTTCTTGGCTGCGTTCCTTGGCCTTGTCCATGCAGTTCTGAGCGGCGTAGTACAAAGCTGTGCCCAAGTTGTAGTAGGTACCCACATTGGGCACCCAGCGGAGGATACTCTGCACAGTCTCTTCTTGCTCTTGCTTACAGTCTTCCGGGTGGAGAGAGCGCCGGGCTCTCTCTGAGCCTGGCTGCTCCCCAGCCAGCAGATGCAAAGCCAAGATCAGGGCATCCGGGGACTCTGCCTTCTGTACGCTTCCGCCTCTCTGGGGCCCTTGGAGGTGGTGGACTAGGAGCTGTGTGGCTCTCACACCTCCCAGGCGGTAGAGCTGACGCTCCACAGCCCAGCCATAAGCCTGGCAACCAGCCTTCTCGAGGGCATTCCTGAGGGACAGGCCTACCAGGAACCTGGGCAGAGGGGCCATGTGGGTGAAGCCAGGCAGGGACTTCGGGAGCAAGGTCTGGCAGAGCAGGGAATCAGAGAAGGGTGGCTGGGACCCCAGGGAGGGAAGGCGCCTCAGGGCCTTTGCCTGGGTTCCATATGAAGTGGAATGGCCGCGGCAGAGCAGGAAGGAGCAAAGCAGCAGTGCGGCTGGTATCATGGCGGGTCTGAAGCCACCCATACCTGGCAGAGTACAGGGAGAGGCACAAAACACACAAAATATTCCCCTCAGCATTGGGGTCTGAAGAAGGGAGCCTAGTGACTGAGGGGGCATCTCATCTATCACCCCCCAAGGGACAGGCCTAGGAAATGAGTGGGACCCAATTGCTCCCACCTGCCCGCCCCATTTTTCAGGTCACTAGGGATTTCCCTGGCTTTTCTTCCACATACTTGTCAACTAAAGCCAAATTCACTGCCTTTGAGTCAACGCCGACCCACAGCCACCTGCCTGTTACAGACCAGAGAACTGCGCTCCTTGGAGTGTCCAGGGCTGTCATTCTCATAGGCGCAAACTGCCAGGCCTATCTTTTGCAGCGCCACCAGGTAAGCTTTAGGTTAGTACTCAATGCTAACCCTGTGCAACCCCTCCCCAGGGACCCCGACCCATTTGGGTTAGTAGTCAAGTGCTAACCCTTTGCAACCCCACCCCACCCCACCCCAGGGACCCCCACCCATTTCCAGGGGTCCCAGATTACCACACAGTTGAGTCAATGAGAAGTGAGACCACCCTGGTAGGTTTGGTTGCCTCTCAGTCCAGCTCTTCCCAGTTGCCTGCCCGTGAGGATGGCAGATATTTGCTTTCCTGGATAATCAGGGTGTGGCGTAACAGAACCTCTGCAAATATTTGCCTCTTTGTACTGCTTGCTCAAGCCTTGTCCTCTGGTAACACACTCATCCTCAATCCTGAAGACCCTGTCCTTCCCGGTATGTCCCTGCTAGAAGCCAGGGAGAACCCGAGTCAAGCATGACCCAAAACTCCCTGCCGTCGAGTTGATGCCACGACCCCGTAGGAGAGGGTGGAACTCCCCCTGTGAGTTTCTGAGACTGTAACTCTTTATAGGAGTAGAAAGCCTCCTCTTTCTCCTGCAAGGAGTTGGTGGTTTTGAACATCTGCCCAATATGTAACCGCTACGCCACCAGGGCTCCTTGAGGAGAGATTAGACGTCTGTAATTCTTGTTTTCTCTTTTCAGCTTAAAAATGAAATAAGCAAGCAACAGCATCTAGTTTGGCATTTCAAAAGTGCAGGGAAGCTAAATAAGGAAAGGCTAAAATGCCTGTCACTCCTCAAGACCATGACTGTTGCGTCTACCCTGACTCGTGGAACTCTCATGGGACCGGCATGGAGCTCCAGAGGGATTTCCTTGGCTGTTTTTTGGGAAGTAGATTGACAGACTTTGCTGCAGAAGTGCCTCCTGGTGGGCTTCGACCCTGAATCATTTCATCAGCAGCCTAGCTCCCTAATGTGTGCACTGCCCACAATATCTGGAACCCAACTCCAACTTACAACCAGCCTATGAGCCAAGGCAGAACCGCTCCATAGAGGTTCCTAGACTGTAAGTCACTAGAAGAGCAGACAGACTTGTCTTGCTTTGACTGAGCCGCTGGTGGGTTTGAATTGAATACCCGTTGTAGTCCACCACAGGAAGCAAGGAGACGCACAGTCCAGGGAGCTCGCAGATGACTGTGATTCAGATTTCAGGAGCATCTTTTTATTTCTCGACTTTGTTTTGACAATGAACAGGCCACAGCATCTGGTTGCAGAATTGGTAAGTACACGGTAAATGGACGGAAAACAGGGATGATTTTGCTAATGTTAGGTGCCATCGGGTCGGTTCTGACTCACAGTGACCCCATATACGACGGAACTCACCACTGCCCGCTGGCCCCATTCTCACAATTGTTCTGGCTGAACCCACGGCTGTCGCCACGGCGTCAGTCCATCTTGCTGGGGCCCTTCCCCTTTGTGCTACTCCTGTTTCAGCAAGCATGACATCCTTCCCCGGGGACTGGTCTTTCTTGACAGCACACCCAAATTATGTAAGCTGGAGTCTTGCCATCCTTGCTTCTAAGGGGCATTCTGGCGAGACGTCTTCTAAAGACAGATTTGTGCATTCTACTGACAGTCCATGATATAGCTAATATTCGTTGCCGACACCATAATTCAAAGGGATCAATTCTTGGTCTTCTTGATTTGATGTCCAACTTCCAAATCCATAGAGGGCAACTGAAGATATTATGCTCGGGACACGCACAGCTTAGTCCTCCAAGTAACATTTTTCCATGTACCTACTACAGGCACATTAGTTGATAACTTTCTAAAGGAAGAACGAGATATTGGTGGAAAAAGTAGGGATGGGGCCTACTCAAAGAGGGACAAGGTGACCTGCGGCCACGTGTTTCGTTTACGATAATAAAAAGCATATACTGATTCTAAGCTGTCCTCAACATGTCTCACTAGCTACTGTGCCTAGTTGTATGCATCATCCTAGAGTCTTCTGAGAACAGAAATTGGTTGGCAGGAAGCCTTCCCTACCCGAGGAAAGCCCGGAAAAGATTCTGTGTCTCCCTTAAGAAATAGCGAGTCAGATATGCAACAGCACGCATGAAAAAGTAGAGTTCATTCTCGATAGACAATGGTATGTTCTTCAATTCCTCGCTTTTTATCAGTTCTTTGTTTACTTCTTCCACATGCACCCAAGCCTCATATGTGCAGTTCTGGGAGGCACGGATGGCGGCGGTCTTGAGCTTGGTCATCAGTTCCGTAGCAGGGACTTTCTCAATGTAGTCAACCAACAGCACTGCTATGTCATGCAGCAGCCTCCCGGGTCCTTGGGCACATTCCTTAGGAAGGTCAGCGGAACGCCGGGCCCGGCCACCCTGCCCTGAGGTTCCCTCCAGATGCTGCGGAATCAGCTCAGCATCCTCAATCCCTTCCTCTTTGTTGAACCTTTGAATCTCGTGGGTGAGGGCCTCGGAGCTGTCCTTTCCTGCCGTTGAAAACTGCTGAAGTTTCAAAAGGTGGGCCTCCGTTGGGCAGCCAATCTCCTTCAGGGCCACACTCAGAGCTAAGTTGGACAGGTGCTCAGGCAGTGGGGCGAGAGACAGGACTCTATGCAAGAGAGCCTGGCAGGACCTGGCATCCAGGTGAGGGATCTGGCTGGAGGGCATGCTTGGTGGAGGCCCAGGTTCTGGGAAAGATGGCTGGAAGGGCAGGGCCCCATTCTGGGTATTTCTTGGAAAGGCAGCCACGGAAGACAGCAAGACACAGCCGAGCAGCAGGGATGGCATCACGGTGGCACAGCAGGAATAGGTCACTGGAAAGAAGCGGTGCTCAGATTAGGAAATGGGAAGAGGCTCAGGACAAAGAGACACCAAGAGTAGGCAGAGCAAGAAAGTGTCTCCTCCGTGGAAATGTCAGTGACCCTGGACATACCTTAACCTCCAGCCTGGAAGGCTTGGAAAGAGCCTCAGCGGTTCAGAAAAGGAGCAAGTGATGAGATGGTCCCCATGCGTCCTCTTGCCTGGATGCTCCCCTCCCTGGAATGGCTGCTTTCTGAGCCCGCCTTCTTCTTAGCCCGGCCAGAACAGTTGGCCCCTTCTGAAAACAGTGAAGGTCATAACAGCCACAAATATTTACCCATCTCTTCGTGGCCGACTTTGTCTTCTTCACCTTTGTCCCATGCTGACAAACAGGCCCTCGCTTTTAAAAAGTCATAATGCCGCAATCAACATCAACATTTGTATGCTACCTTGAGTGACCCTCAGGCCTTCTCTCTTGGGGGCTCCTGCTTTGCCGGGCCCCCATCCCTAGAGGTTTTCCCTAGGCATAAACGTAGAGGAAGGCAGGAAAGCCAATGGTTTCAGGTTCTCAATGCAAAATAAAAGCTGCAGCCATGGAGTCCATCCTGGCACTGGGGACCCCTGTGGCACACAGTAACACTGCTCCACAGGATGTTCCTGGTTGTAACCTTCACGGAAGCAGACTGACAGGTGCTTTTTTTTCCTGCAGCACCGCTGGATGGATTTGAGCCACTTTTCTTAGGTTTGTACTTAGCTAAGTACAAACTGCTTGCATCACCCAGGGATCTCAATTTCAGGGTAAGTGACCTTGAAATCATTCTTATGCAATGACATTTCAGATGGGGGACTGAGAGACTAGGTAGGTCCTCCTGGCAAGTCAGACCGAATCAGAACAGCTTTTTCAATTTGACCTTTTTAAATTCCAATTCAATCCATAAACAAAACAGCTTCATTGCCATGGTGCTCAGTACCTCTTTCTAAGTCCACATCAAATCTATAGCAACTGGGCTTTATTTATCATCTAAGAGGAATTTTCCTGTGAAAAATAGAGACAGAAACTGTGACTTCTAAAACCGGTACGAACACCCACATAACATTGTGCCACAAAGTTTCTTCTCTAATGATAGGACCAAAGGGAAGAGGCCAATGAGAGGGTCTCTCAGGTGCCTCTTCCTGTATCATTCATTCCCCCAACATTGTTGCCTGACATCCCCAGGCCTTTAGGAGCCCTCCAGTTGCCCTGGAGGCATGGTGGGTGTGTTAGTCTGGATTGACTAGAGAAACAAATCCAGGACACTTATATATACATGTACGACAGAGCTTTATATCAAAGAGTAATTGTATATTAATAAGAGCATCCCAGCCCAGTCCAGATCAAGTTCGTAAGTCCGATATCAGCCCATATGTCCGATACCAGTCTCTAAATTCCTGTTTAGACTCACGCAGCCATGCAATGATTCTGAATGCAGGAAGATCACAGGCCAGTGGGTGGAAAGTCTTGTGGATACAGTGGTGGTGGAAGCATCTCAGTGCTGGTGTGGGTCTCCATGTGGCTCCTCCAGTTCCAGGGCTCTGGCTCCATCAGTGTAGCTTCATGTGGCTGGTCATCATATATATGAAGCAGAGTGTGGGTCTGGCCTCCAGAGAGCTAGTTATCTCCATAGCACCTCCAAATGAGGTCATCAAGCTATGACCTGATTGACAGGCTAAACTCCACTCCTTTACTCTTAATAGTCTCAAGTTGACACCAGATGATGTAACTACCACAGTGGGTCACAAGTTATAAAGCTAACCACAAGGTCACAGTTGGAATCCACCAGCCACTCCAAGGGAGAGAGGTGTGACTGTCTATTCCCATAAAGAGTTACAATCCCAGAAACCCACAGGGGCAGTTCTACCCTGTCCTACAGGGTCACTATGAGTTGGAATCAACACAATGGTAGTGAGTTTATGGAGGCCTGGTGGCACTGTCAGATAAGCATTGAAGTGTTAGTCACAAGGTTGATGGTTCAAACTCACTGTTGCTCTGATGAAGAAAGATGAGGCTACAGCTCCTGTAAAGATGTACAGCCTCAGATGCCCGTCTGTGAGGTTGTTCTCGGTTGGAATTGACTCCATGACCGTGGCTTGGGTTTGCCTCTACTACTTTGGTACAGATAAGTGGAGTTTGGGGATTCCATCTGTCTCACTTCATCCACATGTCATACAATTCAAAAATTCAATCACATTGAGTTGCACAATTGTCACCAGATTCAATTCTAGAACATTTCTTCTTCTTTGTACTCATTGTTCTTCCCCCCCCCCTTAATTGTAGCAAAAATGTGCACAACAGAGGTCTGAGGGGCCAGCCCCAACCCCAACTACGTGGACAGCGCCCCTCCCCCCAGAAGAATTCACTTCAGAGGGCAGCACTGAAGCTACAGCTCAGGGAGAGGGACATGTCTGATCAGAGCACACAGGAGCAAATGAAGGGGGAGGAAGAGAGAGTGGAGCACATCCTGGCCCACCAAGCCCTGAGGACAATAACCCTGCTCAGACCAGCCAATGCCCAGAGACGACCATATGGCCAGCCCCACTGAGAGACACATCCCTCATTGACCCCTAGCTCTATGGGGGACAACACTGGAGACACAGTGTGGGAATTGCACCCCACCACACCGAGGCAAAACACTAAGGGCATGCAACAGAACAGCAAGGGGATCAGAGCAAG